AGTGTTATTTAGTTTATTGTTCTCCACCCCTTAATGTCTAATGTGAGACTTTACAATTAGAATGAGTTTCTTATAGCTAACATATAGTTACAAGAGTCTTTTGTTTGTTTGTTTTGTCCACTCTGATAGTCTCTGTGTTTTAATTGTATATTTAGACTATTCACATTTAAAGGCATTATTAATATATTTGGATTAATCTCTACCATGTTTGTAACTGTTTTTTATTTGTTACTAGTGCTTATTTTTCTGTTTTCTTTAACTACGTTATGACCTCTCTTAGAGTATCAGTTATATTTCTTTAAAAGTGTACAGATGATGTATTATTGAATCATATACTTAAAATCTATATAATTTTATTAACCAGTGTAATCCTAATAGCTTTAATAAAAAATAAAAAGACAAGAGAGAACTGATACTGTCAAGGATGTGGAGAAAAGGGAAGCCTGTTCTCTGTTGGTGGGAATGTAAATTGGTGCAGCCTATGGAAAATGTCATGGATTTTCCTCAAAAAATTAAAAATAGAATCGCTATATGATTCAGAAATCTCATTTCTGGGTACATATTCAAAGGAAATAATATCTCTATCTCAAAAAGAAAAAAATTATCTTTGTTGTTTTCTAAATATAAATTTTAATTTAATATACATTTTAAATTCATCAAAGCATATTGTCAAATGTCATTGTTTCGCTTCATGTGTACTGCAAATGCCTTATAATTCTCCCCTCCCATCCCTTGTGACTTGCTTTCATTTATTTCGATTATCTATATACTATAGTCACAGAATGCATTTATACTGTTATTACTTTAAATAAAGAGATATCTTTTTGGGTCAATTAAGAATAAAAAAATAAAAATTTTTAAACCTTTATTTCTTCTCTGATACTCTTCCTTTCTTTATGTAGTTACAAGTTTCTGACATATATCATTTTATTCTGCCTGAAAAAAATCTCTTAATATTTCTTACAGGCAGATATGCTGGTGGTGAATACCTTCCATTTTTGCTTGTATGAGAAAGTCTTTATTTCATCTTCGCTTTAGGATAATTTTACTGTCATTCGTTTTGAAGAGTTTTCAGCCATTACTACTTCAAATCTTTTTTTCCGCTTAATTCTTTCTTCTTTTAATATCTCAATTAACTATATATTACACATTTGAAATTTTCTTACAGATATGGGATTGTGTTTCCATTTTGTTTTTCTCTTTGACTTTTAGTTCGGAAAGTTTCTATTAACTCATCTTCAAGCTCAACAATTCTTAGGCTTTGTTGAGTCTGCTAATGAGCCAATCAAAGTTGTTCCTTATTTATAGCATTTCATTTTGATTCTTTCTTTAGAATTTCCATCTCTCTGCTTACACAGCCATCTGTCTTTGCAGGTTGTCCAGATTTTTCATTAGAGCCTTTAACATATTAGTCTTAGTTATTTTAGATTCCCTGCCTATTCTAACATCTAAATCTATCTAAGTTAGGTCCTGATGATTATTTCGTCTTTACAGATTGTTCTTGATTTTTATGTGTCATAATTTTTTGTTGAAAGCTGGACAGGATAAAATACACTAGAGATAAATAGGCCTCTTCCGTGATAATTTATGTTAATATGGCTGGAAGTTGGGCTGTGTTTTAATGTTTTATATAGGTGCCACAGGCTTCATGTGCCTCTAATGTCCCTTGCTTTGTTTCCCATCTTCACATTGGGCTTTCTTGGTCATCATCCTTAGAGACAGTTGTGTTTTTTACATGTTTCAACTGTGATCTACTATTATTATACTGGAGCCCTGTTAGTGTGGTGAAAAAAACTGTGAACATGAACTATAGACTAGTGGTTACCAGAGGACTATAGAGTAGTTGTTACTAGTGGGATGGGGAAGGAGCGGGGAGGTAGACGGGGTAAAGGGGGTCAAATATAGGGAGATAGGGGGAGGGTGAAATGGGTAAAGGGGATCAAATATATGGTAGCTGAAGAAAACTGGACTTTGGGTGGTGAACACGCAATAGAATATACAGATGTTAAATTATAATGTACACCTGAAAATTATATAATTGTATTCACCAATGTTACCCCAATAAACTTAATTTAAAAAAAAAAAAAGACTATCAAGTGATGAAAGATTAGGAAAAAAAATATAAACAGTCCCATGGGAGTTATAGATTTTTCAGTTATCAGCCAGAAATTAAAATGAATCAATTCAAGAAAGTAGAAGACAAGATGAAGAATTTTAGTGGAGAATTAAAATCTGTTAAATTAAATGGAGACTTTTTAGACAAAATGGAGTAGATGTATTTCTCTTCTATTCCTCTCACTAAACACAGCAAAAACCTCAGGCATTATATATAAAACAGGTAAGAAGACTCAGTAAGGTAGAGAGAAGAAGACAGACCAGCTAGAGATCTCATGATCCAAGAAATGACACAATGGTAAGTTCCCTAGTTTTTCTTTTTTCCTCAAATATCCTACAATGGTTGCTAGAGAAGCTGGCAACCCAGAAATGTCAAAGAGTGCAGACCAAAAAAAAGCCTTCTCTGGCAAAACAAACAAACAACAACAACAACAAAAAACCAGGAAAAAGGCAGCCTACTAAGACAGAAGAGTTTTAGACAATGATTGCACTACTCCAGCCAAATTCTACAGAAAACAAAACAAAACAAAACAAAACAGGGCTGTGTCTACCCTCTGCCAGCAAAGGCTGAGTAGGGAGCCTACATTCCATCCTCACCTGGCTGTAGTGAAGTACTACTCCCTGCTGCCTGGGTGGTGTCAAAGAAGGCCATATGGGGAGTCAGGACCTCTACCCCACACACTGGTAATGAGGCCCCGTGCCATGATGTCAGTGTGGGAAGCAGTAACAAGACACCCCCCACACACTGGGGATATCAACAGAGGCCAAGGGGGAGTCTGAACTTCCACTCCCATCTGGTAATAACAAGGCAGTTCCCCACCTTCTCCACCAGCACACTGTCAAAGAAGTTCTGCTTAAACAGAAATTTATAGAAGATCCAGTCTTATAATACCTAAAATATGAAGGATACAATTTTAAAAATCACTCATTATACCAAGAACCACAAAATTTCAACCTGAATGAAAAAAAGACAACAGCTGCCAATATCAAGATGACACAGATGTTGCAATTGTCTGACAAGGATATAATAAAATATTTTAACGAGCAATTACAGATAAACTTAGAAGAAATGATAAAAAGAGTCTCAGCAAAGAAGTAGAAGATATACCGAGAAACTGAATGGATATTTTAGATCCGAAAAATTCAATATTTGAAATAAAAAACTCAGCGAATGGGCTCAATGGCAAAATGGAGGGGACAAGGGAAAGACATGCCTGTGGATGAACTTGAAGACAGAACAGTAGAAATTACCCAATTTAAACAACAGAAAACAGACTGAAAAAATTAGTAAAGCCTCAGAGATATGTAGGACTATAGCAAAAGATCTAGCATTCAAGTCATCAGAAAGTGAGAAGAAAGAGTATGGAACAGAAAAAGTATTTGAAGAACTAATGGCTGAAAAGTCCCTAAATTTGGCAAAACATAAATCTAAGATTCAAGAAGCTGAGCAAATCCCAAACAGGATAAAACCAAAGAAATCTACACTGAGACACATCATAAGCAATCTTCCAAAAACTAAAGAAAAAGAAAAAGTTTTGAAAGCAGAGAAGAAAGATGCCTTAGCTACAATGGAAAAACAATTCTAGTAACGGCCAATTTCTCATCAGAAACTGTGGAGGACAGGAGTAATTGCCACATTTTTCAAGCGCTGAAAAAAAAAAATTGTCAACCCCAGATTTTATTGGCAACAATATCTTTCAGGAATGAAGGAGAAATTGAGACCTTCTCAGATAAAGAAAAACTAATAGAATCTGTCTGTAGCTGGCCTACCCTTTAAAAAATGGCTAAAGGAATTTCTTGAAACAAAGAAAATGATAAAAGAAGACATCTCGGAATATCAGGAAGGAATGAAGAAAAATGGAAAGAGTAAAATACGGGTAAACACAGTAGGCTTTCCTTCTTTTGAATTCTATAAATTGTTTGACAGTTTAAGCAAAAATTATAACATTATCTGATATGATTCTCAATGAATGTAGAGGAAATATTAAAGACAATTATAAATGGGAGTGGAAAAAGGAACAGGTGTGATTTAAGAATTTTTACAGGAGATAAGGTTTCTACATTTCACTTGAACTGGTAAAATGTGGACACAAGTAGACTGTGATGATTTATGTATCTAGAAAGAGTGAGATAGGACAGAGAATTTTAACAAGTTGATAGGACAGGATGAGGCACATGGAAGCAGTTAGTACACATTTTCTAGATTTGGTGGCTGGACTCAAAGGAGGGCTGGGACTGTAACTACTGCAGATAGAGGAACAGGTGGCCAGCGAAGAAGAAGAGCAAATAAACAGTCAGAGATCGTGGGATAACGGAGCACTGACACAGGTGGGAGGAGGATTGGTCTTGGGAAGAAAGAACCTCTGGCTCTGAGAAAGAAAAGAGGCTGGCTGAAGATACACATTGAGAAAAGGTGAGGGAAACAGGGAGTTGCGTCTAAGGATGATTTTTCTCAGCCAGGTAGGCCCCTGTTGAGAAAGGGGTAAGCTGAACTTAGAGCGATGATGCAAGTTTGAGTCGCGAAGAACCGATAGGACAACCAGAAAGACAGGAAGTGTCAGGTGCTAAACCTGTAATTTTCAGTTTTGCCGCTCAAATTGTGTAAGAAGATGAACTGACCGCCAGATGGCGGTGTCTGTGGAAGCTCACGTATCCCATCGGCCCGGGCTCCAGGGCGGAAGAAGGAGGGAAGTTGACTCTCTGGCTCGCGCCAACTCTACTCTCCAATCCCGACTGACGTTGGACAACAAAGATGGCGGCAGGAACCAGCAATTACTGGGAAGGTGAGGGCGAGGCCTCCGTGTGGGTTTCGCTTAGGGGCGGAGGGGCTGAATGAGGACGGATCGTGGGCAAGGCAGCAGAGAAAAGAGCGGGGCCTCCGGAGCGGCTGTGCTGAGGGGCCGGGCTTGTCTAGTGGGAGCCGCGAGGCCTAGGGACCTAAGAGACCGAACGGTCTGGGGCAGGAGGCTGACCTGAATAGCAGCGGGACCTAGGGCACCAGTTGGACGGAAAGGGCTGAGCAGGGATGTAGAGAAAGACAGGCCTAAGTCGCCGCAGAACAGGGTCGAGGAGGATAGCAGAACTCGGACGACGAGTCTTGGGATATGAACTCTGAGAGCGCAGGAGACCGGAGGAGTCAGCGCCTTAGACAGTCGAGTAGGAAAAGAGAAAGGAAGAACTTGTCGGTCTGGTTGGTTCATCGAGGGAAGGTGTATGAGCGGAATGTCTCCTACTGGATTCCCTTGGTTGCTTCAGCCTGGGACTTCGAGGATTGGGTGTCGTGTCGCGTTTGAAGGCAGAGGACATAACTTTACTCTCTGCTCTGGAGATCGGTTTTGTTAAAAAGAGAAAGTTGAGAGAACCAGTGTGAATTGTTATTATTGCATTTGCTATACCTTTTATACCAAAAAAAAAAAATTCCGATTTGACAAGTACATTTATTTAATTCTGAAAATATGATCGGATAAAGTGGGCTCATGTAAAACTCATCCATGGACCATGATAGTAAGCAAAGATTAAACAAGGCTCACCTTTTTCTTTCAAGTGTCTCTCTGCTTTGCTGCAACATAGAAACTGTGCTCTCCGAATCTTTTTTCCCTTTTAATCTATTTCCTATTGCTACCCACTGAAACCTCTGGAAACCACTACAAAAAACAGTATTGCCACTATCAGCCACTGGGTCTAAGATACTTATTCTAGGTTCATCCATTTATGCCTGTCATAACTTTCAAAATGCTTTTACTTGATGTTTTCTACTGGAGAAGACAGTAGCTTGTTACAGAGAAGTGTGTTTATAGTTTAAAACATGTATTAAAAATGACTGCTTGAAATGTGTGAACTAGCTAGAAAATATTTTTAAGTTATGTAGAAGTGGCTGTTGTTATCTTTAATGCTAGGACTTAGGCTACCATTTTTTGAAGCACCATGCTGTAATAATTATAGCAGCTTGTTATTGACAACCTACTCTTGTGTCATATACTTTAAAGACATGATTACTAATGCATAGAAAAGCCCTGAAGGTAGGGGTTTAAAAATAAAAAAGCTGAGGTTCATAGGTTAAGTAGATTGTCAATAAATTTCAGAGTCAGTTCTCAGACTCTCAGAACTTTAGGGTGAGCTGAGATTCTAAAGATTTGGTCTCTGTGAAAATATATTCCATTGTATTATGGTGCTTCCAACTTCTGGTTACTGGTAAGTATATTGAAATAATATTCGTGTTCCTTATTTCTGAAAGATGAGATCCTTATTTTCTTTCTATATTTCAGCCCTTTCGTTTTGACCCCCCACTTCTCCATGATGAGAGTACTCACATCTAGATGTAGAATTTTGAACTGTGGCTCCTCTCAATCAACCACTTAGATACCAAACTGCTATACCAATTTCTCTGCTTGCTTGCTTGTTCCTGTTCTTTCAAAACTTATACTCTTATTTTTGTCATACTTATTTATATTTGATCTTACTAGTAGCACATTGTTTATTTTAATTTCAGCCTCTCCAAATTTCTTTCAGTGAGCTTTAAAAGAAAATGTTTTTATTTTGGTCGATTGTTTTCTTTATGCTCAATCACTAAGTCATTCTACTATTAAGAATTTCATAAGCCTAATAAAGCTTTGGAACGTAAAGAGATAGGAAAATCTTTGTCAAAAACAGTAATAGTTTCTTTTTTATAAAGTTAGCTGGTAAATTGATACAAAGCTGATTGTAAACCATAGTCAGTTTCTTTGTGATTTGTATTTTCTGTTTTCCCCTGAATTATAAAAATTATTATTCCTATAGAAATAATTTCAGGGATGTTAGAACAACATTTGTTGTCTAACTATGTTTGGAATAAAGCTGAAAATTTGCATCTGCCACTGTTTCTCCCCTTTTTGCCCCATCTGAAGTTTAAATAAGTGACAGTTTGCTTTCCTGGGTATGTCTTTGGTTTATTCCTTTTAACACTTTTCTTTATTGGAGAATCTAGATCAGTATATGATCGTTTTCATAGTTTGTTTTCTTCAGAATAGATTTGGGAGTTTTATATCTACCGATGGACTTTTTGTGTCTAATTATTTGCTTTTATAATTTTTTAAAGATCTCAGGAAACAGGCTCGACAGCTCGAAAATGAACTTGACCTGAAACTAGTTTCCTTCAGTAAACTGTGTACAAGTTACAGTCACAGCAGTGTCCGAGATGGAAGACGCGACAGGTATAGGTACTACCAGATTCTGTCTCTTATGCCTTAAATTATTTTTATAGCATTACAAATTAAACTAAAATATATAACTGTAATTTGTTCTATTGCCAAATTCTTTATTTTATTTTTACTCTTTTTTTATAGTGATTTATAAAAATTCTTTATTCTTGAGACTATTTTTTTTTTTGGTATCCCTAGGCAAAGATTATGACAGTGTCAGGAGGAAAATGCTAAGGCTTAAAAATGAGTTTGTGCCAGAAATAAGTTCCCAGCTCAGTCAGTGAAAGAAAATGTGGTTGATTTGCCCACATTGTATTTCTTATATCTTCTGATTGCCAAATGGATCTGAGGAGCTATCCAAATGCAAAGTATTCTTACTGCTATTCCGGCATTTTAGAATGCATCTAATGCAGTGTATCCTCACTATTAATCATCCAAGCTATTTTAATTTTGGTTCTTTTTTGAGAAATCTAGTATACTACTATATTGAACACATAGAAAATATATTATTAATTTTTAAAAATTGTTGTAACAGATTAATAACATTATATAAGTTTCAGGTATACACATTGTAATTTTATATCTGTATGCACTCTAGTGTGCTCACTACCAAAAGTCTAGTTTCCATCTGTCACCATACGTTTGACCCCCTTTACCCATGTTTGCCCTCCCCCTATCACCTTCTCCTCTGGTAACCACCCATCTGTTATCTGTATCTATTAGTTTGTGTTTATTTTGTTTTGTTTTGTTTTGCGTTAATTCTTTTATTTTTTATTTTTTTATTCCACCTGTGAGTGAAATCATATGGTTTTTGTTCTTTTATGTCTGACTTATTTCACTTAGCATAATACCCTCAAGGTCCATCCATGTTGTTGCAAAGGGCGATATTTCATCTTTTTTTATGGCTGAGTAGTATTCCAGTATATATATTGCTATATATATATATTGCTGGATTGTATGGTAATTCTGTTCCAGTCTTTGAATCTTATGCTCACTTTAGGCTATCTACTTGTTTCAAAATATATTAGGAAATATTTAAGACGTTTAGAAAGGTATAAAGAATAATATAATGGATCCCTATGTGCCTATCTCCCAGTTTAAGAAATAATCATTACCAATTCAGTCAGAGCCCCTGATGGCATCCATTTTTTTCCTCCCCATAATCTTTATGTATTTTTACTGTACTGTTTATGATCTTAATTCATAGTATCTTACTGTAGTTATTTTGCAACTTGCTTTTTGTTTAAGGTTATCTTTGAAATTAAACTATGGATACATTTAAATCTGGTATATTCGTTTGCTACGTGTAGAATTACAATGTATGATTATGTCACAGTGTATTCTGTAGATGGACATTGTTTCCAATTTTTGCTAATTAATAATAATTTGAATACCTGACAGTGTTCATCATGTGTCAGGTACTGTTCTAAGAGCTTTATATAAAGACCGCTTTTATTTATAAAAATGTTTTTATATATCTAGCAGTGAAACTGATGGGTAGCAGAGTTATTAGTTGTGATCCTCTCTTTATTGTACATACTTTTTTTAAGGATTAGTGGTGGGTAGGATATTTTTCAGCTAATAATAGCAAAAACTGAGCTTGGATTTGAACCCAGGTCGTTCTGTCTCCACATCCCACGCTCTAAAACTTTCTTTGCACATTCTAACAAAAAGACTCATATACACTGTAGCCAAAGTGTTGCTTCTTTTTAATAGGTCATATTATTAAAGAATGAAAGCTAGCAGGGCCAGCATATTGACTCTGGCTTCTAAAAGTAAGCTCTTGGCGTGTCACGTAGCTTTAATTGCAGTGCATTGCTTTGGGCCTGGCTTTAGCAAGTTAAGAGAATAAAGAATGTTCTTTTCTATGAGTAAACTTATCACTAGAAAGCATATTTCCTTAATTTATGTCTGACTTAAGTCCCCTCTTTGGCTATGCCAATGATTATACAATTTTAAAACTTTAGATAGTTAAAAGATAAAATTACATGATGCTTTTTCTGTGTTCTCCTTACTTCATGAACTGAATGCTTTCATGACTCCTTTAAAGGAAAAATTACCTTGAAGACATTTCTTAAATTCTACAACAAATTAAGGCTGACTTTGTGGAATTACCTCAGCCTAATTATCCCATTCAATAGGAAACCTAAGGCCATGAGGATCAAGATCCAATGTGCATTCTAACGTGTTTTGTTTGTTGCTCAGGTTGAAAACATATCATAATGAATGAACTCAGTGATGACCAGAATTTTCCTTCCAGGATTAATTTTTTTACCTTCTGTTTGAGAACTTAATGGTCTGTGAATCATCACATACCTATAAAATGAATTATTTAATTGACTTTTAGTGTTGTAGAGAATGAATTTTTGACCATTTCCCTAGATTCACATACTCTTCTGAGACTGGCGAATGTAGAGATTGCCCCCTTATTCATTCAACAAGTATTCGGTGAGCATCTACCATGTGCCAAGCTGTATTCTAGGAGCTAGGCATATATCTGTGAGTAAAACACAGACATTTTCCTGCCTTATGTAGTTTACATTCATTGGCCAATTATTCTTTTTCATATATCTGGCAGGGAAGGATCTGTGTTAGTAGTATATAGAGCATTTTTGCCTGCGTGCATTTAAGAGATAACCACAGAACCTTGGATTGGCTCTGAGACATAATAAAGAATTAGATAGTTTTATATTTTTTAAGGCAAATAGATTGAAATATTTCAAGAAGAAATAAAAATTTGGACCTAGTTAAACATCTTTAAAAATAGTTAAAAATCCTTATCAGCTACTTTTTGTCTATTTTTCTACTTGTTACTATTCCTGTGGAAGTGTATATGGAGAAAGGAAATAGTAGTAGCTAAAATACTATTTTGATGTTAAACTGATGATTTAATCTGTTTTCATTTGCCATACCCATTCATTGTCACGGGGCAGGACAAAGTCGTCAGTAAGATTGGCGAGCATAGTCATTGCCTGGGTATTTATCTGTGTTCAGTATAACTAAGATCTGTATTGAGCTGCTCGTGTAATAATACATACCACTTGGGGACTTAATGAAGGTTAGTGGTTTTTCAGAAGAGACAAAAGAAACTTTCAGGGCCTGTGGTTTTAGAATTTTAATCTGTCAAACATAAGTTTCACTTTTAAAAAGTTAGTTTTTCGACTGACTATTCAGATTTTAAAAGAGGTCAACACATTTTTGCAACACAAAACTGAAACAATCGCACAATGTAAGTGGAAATGTAGAGGGTTGGTAGTACCACTTCCCTACTGGACATGGCTCTCTCTGTTAGACTTAAAGCCAGTTCCTGATTATTTAATAACTAGTTATCCAATCTGTGGATCATTTAAATCTCAGTTTTATTTTATTCTTGGTAAGAGTCAAGGAAAGAAAAGAGAACTTATTTTAAGGTCTAAGCATCCATAATTACTTTGGGGCAAAAATTTAAAAGATTATTCCTCACAGATTCCATAGCATAATCCATAATACATTTTATGGCTCCTATTATATGCCATACTGATTAGTTCTACAGTTTTATTTCAGATAATTTGTTCTTTTAGCTTCAACATGTAATTGGGCACTGCCACGGCTTAAGTTACTTTAATTTGGAAACAGTAAACAAACATTTGGAATGTCTCTACATTATTAAGATTGAATGTGTTAAAGCTTGGGAAAATCTTATATTCAGTTATATTTTATACTAAACTTAATATTTAGGACATGTGTGATCTTTACAGGAAAACTATAAAAATTTTGGCTTCTTAAGAAACAGTGAATGTCTCAGGGATTCTACTTGACCTCTTTAAGAATAATTGCCTTATTTTAAGTATGTTTTAAAAAATTAGATTTAAGTAATGGATTCTCTTTACTTGAATGTCTCTTTAGTTCTGACACAACACCCCTTTTAAATGGATCAAACCAAGACAGAATGTTTGAAACAATGGCAATTGAGATTGAACAGCTTTTGGCAAGGGTAAGCTCCTTCTCTTAAATGGCTGTTTTGCTAATAACTGTGTACTTGTTAGATATGGTATTAGATTGTATTAATGTAGACATGTTTATTGAAATCAACCTTTCATTCAAGCTGTGTGCCTCCCAGGCCACTTGAATTTTGATGACAGCCATGGTTGTTATTTTAGCTATATGTATTACTTGGTGGAAATGAATCCTTGCCTCTGCCTTCTTGTTTTTGGTTTGTTTTTGCTGTTAGCCAAAAGGCAAACAGGCAAATAATTTACTTTACTTTTATCTTTTTATAGTACTTTCTAAAATTTTTTTATTGTTTCTTCTTCTTTATTCTTTTTTTTTTTTTTTTTTTTTTTAGCTTACAGGAGTAAGAGATAAAATGGCAGAATATACCAACAGTGCGGGTGTCCCCTCCTTGAACGCGGCATTGATGCATACATTACAACGACATAGAGACATATTGCAGGTAATATATTAGGATTGAGATTTTTATGTTATTATAAGATTTTTTTTAAAATCCCTGAATAGAATGTGTCCATGTGTATTTAAGAGAACAAAGGGAAAAATCTTCTGAGAGGATAAATGCCACACTATAGAAGCTTGTCTTTTTTTACTTTTTTCTTGGTATTATAAAATTCTGAAAATGCCTAATAGCTCTTGCTTTTGCCTGGTAAAATTAAATAATATTCATCAATAGGTAAATATACTACTATGGGAGACCTTGCTAGCTAACTGTAGCAGTGAAATAGCCAATGGTCATGCATAGGCAGTAATATGGTGATTTAGGGTATACTTTCATTAGGCTTTGAAGATGACATGGAAGAGGAGTAATTTACTATATTTAGTATATTGTTTGAGAAAATGTTAAAAGTGTACCAAAAATAAAATAAACTCTTAAAGACTTACATATGATAGTATATAGTATACAAATAGGAAGGCAAATATTTTTAATATTAAAAAAGGCCAGCAACCATTTCTAATTTTAAAAACTCTTGTTAAAAATAGGAATAGAAGGATACTTTATCAGCCAGTGCAAAAATGTGTATATCAGATTAAACGCTAGCATCATGCTTAATAATAATGAACTAAAAGCATTCCAATTAAAGAAAAACAAACAAGGATACCTACAATCACCACAGATGTTTAACATTGTTTTGGAAGTTCTTGGTGGTGCAATTAGACAGTAAAAAGAAAGAAGATTTAAATATTGGAAAGGAAGAGACAAGATTTGTATTATATGGCAGTGATGAGATGGTATAGCTAATACAGCCAAGAAAACTAACTTGAAAAATATCAGAAATACATGCAGTAAGATGGTGGATTACAAAATTAATATATAAAAATAGTTTTTCTCATGCAAAGAGTAGCCTGTTAGAAAATATTATAACATTCTTATATATAAATTTATTAAGTATGTATAGGACTTGTATATATAAAACTGTACTGAGGAACATAGACAATTTACTCTGCTTTTGGGAAGATTTCTCTCTAAATCAACCTATAAATTGAATGCTTTTCCAATAGAAATAACAGGATTTTTTGTTTCATTTTTTTCAAGTTGGAAAGATACCAAAGTTCATTTGGAATCATAAACATACAAGAATAACCGATAAAAAACATGTAAAAATGAAGATTAGTAAAGAATGTCTAGTTCTACCAGATATTAAACCTGTTAAGAAGCTAGAATAATTAAGACAGTTATTTATAAATAACTAACAAGTTATTTATAAAAAATTAAAAACTTGAAAGAGATAATAAAATAAGTAGAGCTGTAACAATTGGTTAATTATTTGGGAGAACCCTCAAATTCTCTTATTCCTCCTACACAAAATAAATTCCAAATAGATCAAAGACTTATATGTAGAAAAACCATGAAGGTTCAGAATGAAGCATGGATGAAATTACATGTTTTGAGCAGTAAAGGACTTTTTTTTTTTTTAGGCGAGGCAACCCTTGCAAGGACCTTACAATCCCTTATTTTTTATTTTTTACGCCTACAGCACCTGGTCTTCCGAGGTGATCTCCCATCCAAGTACTAACCAGGCCCAACCCCGCTTAGCTTCCGAGATCAGATGGGATCGGTCTTGCTCAGGGTGGCATGGCCATAGACAGTAAAGGACTTTCTAAGCAACACCTAATACCAGAAACTACAACAAATGACTAATTTGTTTAACATATAGAGAAATAATAGAAATAAGAAAGAGATAACCTAATGTGAAAATAGGCAAAGGATATGAACTTGTTTATAGAAAATGAGTAGCCAAAAACCATAAATGTTCAGCTACATTCCCAAATAAAAGTACAGAAATCAAAATGAGATGATTTTTCACCTGTTAGATTAGCAAATATTGAAACACTTATAGCCTCTTACTGGCAAGAGTATAGAAAGGTGGGCATTCATCCATTTGCTGGGAACATAAATTGGTGCAGTTAAGTGCTACGTAAATTTAAATGTAGTATTTTTTGATCTAGTTATTCTGCTAGGCATCTAATCTTTACACTTTAAAAAGAGAGAGAGAGCGTTCAATAAAATATATATATAAGAATGTTTATTGGGGCATTTTTTCATACCAAAAAGAATGAAAACTAAAATGTTCATCAGTAGGTAATTTATTATGACAGAGTTGTAAGTTTACAGTTCTCTTGGTTCTGTTCTGTTCGGTTTAAGAATTAAATTTCTCCAAAAATTTCAAAAGGATGAAATTTGAAAATAAGCCCCATTAGGTGCACTAATGAGTAGAAAAAGTCCCTTAAGTTTTATCCTAGACTATTTGAAGTCGTTTTATCTCAGAATTATTTATTTCTTTACAATTCTGTCCCATAAAACAAGGTACTCTAGAAGATAATGAAGATGATTTAGTGGCACTATTACTCTAGCACTGAATTGTTTTCATTTAAAAGAAGTTGGTCACTTTTCGGGAAAGTGATTATAATGTTATTTTTACCTCTTGGCAGTTTGATTTCTTCAATAACAGTTTTCTTGACAGAAATTTATAACATGATGACAATGGGTAACTAACCGATTCAAGATGAAAATATATAATTAGCTTTTGAGACTGGATATTGATTTATTGCAGGATTATACACATGAATTCCATAAAACCAAAGCAAACTTTATGGCAGTACGGGAAAGGGAGAATCTCATGGGATCAGTACGAAAGGATATTGAGTAAGTTACTTTTTTTATATTTTGTAGTATGTTTATTCAGATTTAGATTTAGAATATATCCATGATTAATAGCAAATCGAGCAGCAGAACCATAATTTAGATTTCAAGGTTTCTAATTCCTAATTCACTGTTCTTTAAACAATATGGTCCTAATCTACTTTGCTGGTCTTATCTCTAGCTTCCTCTAGTTTTATCTTTGATTCCGGCCAACCTTGACCTTCCTATTTTAATTCAAAGTCCAGCTTAGATGATATCTTCATGAGTTTTTTTCTCATCTCCTACAATTGTAACATTACCAGTATCTAAAGCTCTCTGTGTTTCCCTTCCTGATTACCACCTACTCCCACCACCCTCTCCTTGCCCCAATAGTTATATATTCAGGTAGTTATCAAAGTAGCTTTTACTTACCTGGAACTGAAATAGTTGTTTTTTTTCTAGATTTTATACAAACTCAATCTTACATCAAATTATTTAAGGATCTCCAGTATTTTTATGCTGATCTCAATCCATAATTTTAAAGATTTATCCTTCTATCTCTTTACCTCATCTTTAATAATCTAGCATTGCATACACATTTTTGACATTTTTTTTGCAACTAAACACAGCTGACAAGGTTAAATCAATTAGGTATCTAATTAAAACTGAAGACTTCTCATTTTTGGACCATCTAGTGACACCTATCTCACTTGTCATAAGTTTATGATACTTAAGTTTCATAAGTATGACACTTATGTTTCATAAACTGTAGTATATATTAGCATATCATGAACTGATATAAATCATGTGTACTCTGAGAAGAATTTTCCCAGAGATCCTTTATTTTGTTGTAGTAGTAAGACAGTTTTGCAGGAGAAATAATTGAATATTCAGTGCATCCAAAACTCTAACCCAGTATTATCCAGCCACCAAAGTTACGTTTCTACCTCCAGAAATTATCTTAGAAAACTAACTTTTATCATTTGTCTCTTTTATCTGTTTTTAATGTTGTAGTCATATGTACTCTGTGTAACATATAGGAGTAAAAGAAGAAACATTTTTACCATAATTAGGAATTTTGTAATACTTTTAGTTCTCAGGAACATGTAAATCTTTTCATTTCTGTATAGTCTATTTACATATATCTCTTAAGGAAAGCATTGAGAACCAATGTAGGGGACAGCCTTTAATGTATAGGCATTTAGTTTCCTCACAGTTTGTGAAAAATCAATAGAATACAGCCCACTGTAATAACTTGCTTTCTGAAAGATGATCATAAAAAAAATATGTTCATGCATTCATTAAACTGTTTCCTGATTTCCAACCATGAGTAAGACACTATGTCAGTCACAGTAGAAGGTAGTAATAAAAAGACCAAGTTGGTCCTCTAAGAGTTTATAATCTAGTTGCCATAGGGGAGTAAGGCACATTTCAAATTAATATAATATGAGGCAGAATACTATTAGTGAGATGAGATATAGTAGCAGTAACTGCCATTTTAAAGTTTTTTGCAATTACATGCCACTTTTCCATATATTATCTCTTGGCTTCATGTAATCTTTTGGTATAGATAGAAATTATTAGTTCTGTTTTATAGAACTAGATACTAAGAGACTTGTCTAAAGTTAACTGGCTAATAAATGATAGAATTTAGATTTAAGTCCAAATCATCAGTCTTCCAAATCCAGCATGTCCTTAGTTACATCAGGCTGCTTTTCCTGGTGTTTTCTTTCTGCTGTACTTTGCACATTACCATTCTTAGCCAGGATTTGAGTTTTAGCATCATGACCCTCTTTTGTCTAACTGCAGTATGTGTTTAGTTACTTGAATTTATTTTATTCTTGACACTTTATGTAAGTAAAGAACGGAAACATGAAAGTGTTGATAGTAATGATACAAAGCATTTTCTGGTAAATTTCAATGCACTTAAGACTAAGATAGAAATTGTTAACTATGCCAAAATTGACAGATCTTTATCTTCATTTTAATGCTCCTTAGGCTTCAGTTGATGGACTGCATGTACCATTGTGAAGGAAACATTTTGTTTCAGTAGCTCCCCCACTCCATGTGCTGTATAGTAATCATTCTAAAGTTTTACTTACACTTGGAGAGAATAAAGATATAGGAGATAATAGACAATGAAAGGAAAAGTAAGATTTCTGTTTGTATGAGAATGTTGGATTATTTTGGTGAAAAATAATAAACTCTTAGGCCTAAATTAGAGAGGTATTCATATTTATTTGTAATAGATGTCATTTTTAGAAGATGATGAAAAGGATTATACATTTTAAATTTTCATTCAGAACTGTGGAGAGCCTCAATTTGTCCAGTTTGGATATTACTAGACTCAGTCACTTAATCTTTTTTTGCAGTATCTGCTAAAAATATTCGTAAGTTTTCTCTATTTTGTTCTAGGTCCTATAAAAGTGGGTCTGGAGTAAACAACAGAAGAACTGAACTATTTTTGAAAGAACATGATCACCTTCGAAAGTAGGTATTATTGAATATATATATGTGTACTATGTAGTTTCCCATACTTATTAATTCATTTACTTATATAAGAAACATTTTATGGTGTTTATTATAATAAATGCTTTATCAGTGCTAATTTATTTAATTCTTCTAATGATCCTACTTGGTGGAAATAGAATTGCAACTGTTTTGACCGTAACTATGAAAGAAATTATGCTGTCAACTATACAAAGTCTGCATTTACATCACTTTATTGTTTTTTGTAATATGTCTTTTCTTGCCTAATGCTGCTGTTCTTTAGCAAGTCAATTGCTCTAATACTTCTGTCTACTACTCTAGGTTATTAGCAATAATAGTAGTAATACTGATGCTGACTTATGTTCAAATGGCCTGATACCACTTATATATGTCAAGAAGCTTTGTAAAGGGTAATTAGCCATTTATCAAATCCAAAGAAAATATCATTTTTTAAGAATTTAGAAGAAACGCCTAAAATCTTGGATGAACTGTGTATGTATATCTTACTACAAGGCGCCATACTCTATCCCTGTTTTATTTATTTTTTTCTCTGAAATGTACTGATTTTTTAAATTATTTTCTCAGTATTTTGTTACAGAACTTAAAGATCAGAAAATTACTTAACATATGTGAGCTCAGCCTTTAAGCACTTGAACAGCTACTACTGTTCATGAGTTACATGTCATGAATTATGTTATTTGCTGCTGAATGTCATAAATGAGTCATGTTCATATGAGCTTAATGTACTATTCATTTTATTTTTCTTAAAAGATTACCACTTTAAATATAAGCTGTTAAAATCAGAACACAGAAGGATCAAGGTCTTTTTATAAGTCTGGATGCTTTTAGTGTCTACTTTAATCTGTTTAATATTATTGATTGGCACAAGGGGGCAGTCTTTCCTAAAGTATGTTTGGTTTATAGTTATTCATAGCTTCAGTGGTTCATTTTTGTTTGATAAAGACCATCATAAAAAGAATTTTTGCATTACATACAAAACTGTATTAAGTATATTCTTGGGGTATAGAGTAATTTTTAAGTGATAAGATTCTCAAGCAGCACAAAATAAAGATTAGATTGCATCAATGTTTTTATATTTATTGCCTCAAAAAGAAACAAATACAGTAGTTTAATTACTTCAAGAATAATTTATTGCTGAAAAGATTATACCAGAGTAATCACATGATTAATATCTCTTTATTATTTTAGAATACATTATTATAAATTATACATGAAAATTTGCAATTTTGCATTTATTTTAATAATTCAAATAAAATCTTCAGGAGTTTAATATTGTCCATTTTACAGGGAAAAAATACAACAGTTCAGGGCACACAGCTTAAATAATTGTTTAGGGTTATAAAGGGTTATAAAGATGATAAAAGGATTAGAAATCAAAAGGGTATTTTCTATTTTTGTTTCTAGGACAATTTTATATATGATATGCTTTTATATTTCTTTCAGCATTAGTGTGAAAAAGGTTGTATATGCTCATTCTACACATACAACCAGGGTGAAGTTGAATGGAATACGAGCTGCTGATGAATTAGAGAAATTATTGAGACTAAAAACAAAGGCTTAGACATTACTTTCAGTATTAGAATACAGAGCTTCCAAATACATTTTTGAAAAATCAATATTTGTGTAAATTACAAATGCTACTTAGGTAATATAAAATTATGGACTAATGTGTACAAAATAATATGAAAAACTTTCTGTTTTTTTCAATGATGTTGTCTCGTAATTTATTTGTTAAATGTTTTGTGGAAGAATTGGCAAGATTTTTTGAGAATAACTTTAATACAAAACCTCTTTATCGTACCTATTTTAGGAAGTCTGAATAATTCAGCAAAACATAAAAAAAAAACAATTTAAATCACTCAGTACAGCTTCTGTAACAATTTTTATTCATTAGTAGATTGTGAGCCTTTCATGTTATTTGATAATTTTTTTGTTTGTTTTTGAATAGATTCTTTTAGAGTCAAAAGGAAAGTTTATTAGAAAAGGGGTAACACTCCACAGACAGAGTGGGTTTCCTCTCAGAGGCAGAGAATAAGAAGGACTTCTTAACTTTTAATAGTGCATCTATTACCTAAACAGATAAACCATAATTTGCGTAACCATTTCCCTAAAGTTGACCTTTTGGATTATTTTCAGTTTTTACTGTTATACATATTGAAGTCTTTGCATGTATCCATAATTATTTCCTTATGATAAATTTCTAGGATTAGAATTGAAGGATTATAGAATATATTCATTATTAAAGCTTTTGATATAGTATTATCAGATTTCCCTCTAAAGGTTTTCTAGTTTAGAATCCCATTAGTGGTGTATATGTAAACATTCCCCAATGCCCTCAGTAATACTAATATTTTGATTTTTTTTTTAATTCATACCACAAAGATAGGTAAAAATTCTCAGGCAATAAATTATTTTTAATATAAAGAATGCATTTCACTGGAGAAAATGTAGGTTAAGCAGCCAAGCAAAAGAAATATAAAAAGTAACAGTTAAATTAACCTAAAAGTGAGATAGACAGCAAAAGATTATATATATCATCAAGCCCATTTGTAATTAATAGGCCACATTTGCTGCTAGGGTACTTTTTATTGTGATCTTTCATGAAAACAATTTTATACCCAGTAACTCAGGTAACTAGTTTGATTTTATGCAGCAAGGTCGGACTTTTTATGGCTGGAAGCATATTTAGATTTTTGATTCCTCAGAATATTGTTTATTTATGTTACTGTTTCTATAACTCATTTCAAAAGTACATATTTTTGCCTTGAAAACAGTAAAACAATTTTTATAAATGAATGCCAAACCTAAAAAAAATGACTTCGAAATGAATTGTTTTTATCAGTTTCCCTTAATACTCTTTCTGTCTAAAAATAAATGTTATCATCTAATAGCTTATCTTAAGGATGACAGTAATTTCTCCTCCTATATGATAGATAAGGTAACTTTCATTTTTCACTTGTCTTTCTCAGAGTCAGGCTTTTAGCTATTTGTTTTTTGCTGGACCGTAGATAGATTTTTATGAGCTCTTTGGTTCCTAGTTAGATTAATTTCTCTCCCTTTTTATAATTGTTCTCTTTCATTGCTCCCTTATATTTTCCTTTTTGAAAGAAGTATGTGAATTAGTTTTTTACTTTACTTGGTTGATGCTGTTTAGTTGTTTCATTCTGTTTGGGAACTTTACCAAAACTTCTCATTCCCCTTCTTGACTTTCCTGTCACTTTACCTAAAAGAGAGGTCCTCACCTCCTTCTTCATTGAAATTTTTAACTTTTTGCTCTTTACTACAGATTTACCTATAGGAGTACCATTCTTTACCCTTTTCCTATAGTTTTTAGAGAATGAGATGTTTCTCCCTGAGAAGGCCAATACATTCATCTGGCTTTAGTTTCTATCCTTATCTGCTACATCAAGTATTTTACTCTTCAGTCATTTTATGTACTGGCTCTTTTTTTATAGTTTATAAATACAGGTATACCCCTCTTCATTGTGCTTCACTTTATTGTGCTTTGCAGATATTACATTTTCATCAACATAAGGCAAGACTCTCCACCAACTAAAAGATTATGACTTGCTGAAGGCTCAGATGATGGTTAGCATTTTTTAGCAATAAAGTATTTTTTAATTAAGACATATACTTTCTTTTTTTTTTTTAAGACATGATGCTATTGCATACTTAACAGACAACAGTATAGTGTAAACAACTTTTATATGCACTGGGAAACCAAAAACTTCGTGTGACTCACTTTATTGCTGTATTTACTTAATTGCCACGGTCTGGAACTGAACCTGCAGTGGTTCTGAGGTATGCCCATATACTCGCCCATATCTCTGTGTCAGTAATCATTTCCTCCTTGGCCTATTGACTTGTCCCCTCACAATTCTACTGAGCATGTTTACTTTGGAGACATCATTGATCTCCTGAATGCCAAATCGAATAGACATTATTTGTTCTTCATATTGTTCTACCTAATATGATACTGTAATCTCTTCCCTCCTTCAAAATTTAGGCTACTTTAACAATGAAGGTTACTGATTCTTCACTAAGCCTTTCTTACTACTCTTTCTTTGTTTACTTCCTGAGTGACTTCACATGCAGCCTCAGAATCCTTTCACATACACTGCTCCAGGCAGAAATTAGTTGGAGCTAGTCCACAAGATTAAACTTATTTGCTATCTACTCTCTTATTTTTGTTTAATTATTTGTCCTTGACACAGCTCATAACAACACTTCCTCCTCCACAGAGATGGCAGCTATAAAAATGACCTAGCAAAGAGAAATTAAAATTTTCATTTACAGATTTATAGGAAAAGCAACTGGTGAGGTTTTTTTTATTGCCAAAAGTAATAAAACCAATAAGAGAACTGAAGAAAGAGGGACAAATTCCAAAATTCTATAGAGCCAGCTCAGGAGTGAAGCTGAGGAATTTTATTCATACTTGGAGGCTATGTTTGTTTTTATGCAAGTACTCTGATTTGCGGGCATGTCATGATTACAGCTGGAATTGCAGACTAGATGTTTTAAGCACAGCAGCTTAAATATTCTTGACACTTTAAAAAGACCATTGACAGTGTTTCAAAGTAGTTAAGATATTTAAAATAATATAATTTTTTGATTCTTAAAATATAATTCCATTTAATTACATTATATCATAAGAACATACAAATATACCCTTGGTTTTTAGAGAGGTTTTTTTTTTTTTAACAGTTTAGTTTTCCCCGTTCATTAATATGCCACTTTTATCTTGACTTTGAAACCTTAATAGATTTATTCCTTGAATTGGTATAATAGATAGGGCATTGGCTTTGAAGCCATACAGACCTGAGTTCAAATCCTGGTATGGACTGTGTATTTTTGGGAAAGGGCCTTAAACCCTCTGACTCTCTACTGCTTTTAAATGGGGAAAATTTAATCCTTGCTTTGAAAAATATTATGTGATTTCAGATGATAGTGTAAAGTATTTACCTAGAATGGTGCCTGAC